GCCGCGCCTGCTCAGCGCGGCCGTCTGCTCGAAGACCAGCCTCTGGCGGCACTCGTAGGCCTTCTCGCCGGCGTGCTTGCGCTGGTGCTGCGCCAGGGACGAGCTGTGGCGGAAGCCCTTGCCACAGTGGTTGCACTCGTAGGGCCGCTCCTCCGTGTGCGTCCGCAGGTGCAGGAACAGGCAGGTGGTCCGCGAGAAGGCCTTCCCGCACACGCTGCACGAGTACGGCTTCTCGCCGGTGTGCGTGCGCCGGTGCCGGCCCAGCGACGAGTTCTGGTTGAAGGCCCGCCCGCAGTCCTGGCACTCGTATGGCTTCTCGCCGGTGTGGATCCTGCGGTGCACCGTGAGGTGCGTGCTGTGGCAGAAGGACTTGCCGCACTCGGCGCACTTGTAGGGCTTGTCCCCCGTGTGGATCCGCTCGTGCTGCACCAGCGACGAGTTCTGGCTGAAGGCCTTCCCGCACTCCTTGCACATGTACGGCCTCTCGCCCGTGTGGATCCGCTTGTGCACCGTGAGGTGCGCGTTGTGGTTAAACGACTTGCCGCAGTCGGCGCACTTGTACGGCTTCTCCTGCACCGGGCCCCGGGCGGGCTCCGGAGGCGCAAGGGCCTGGCCCGAAGCCCGGCTGCAGTCGCCGCTGTCGCCCGCCTGCGGGCTCACCACGCTGGAGCTACCTTCCGAATCTGGAACCGGCGAGTCCTCGGTGCACGAATCGTCTCGTCTAACAACCTCCGGGAACGGACTGAGCTTTGAACTCAGGACACGGTTTGCCCCAAGCCTGAGACGTTCGTGGCTTCCGTCCTGAACTGGTGCTTCCTCCAGGCAAAATTCCAATGGCCTCGAGTTTTCCTGGTCCTCCTCGGGCGCCTTGACCTGGCCCCCACAGTCCCGGCCTTCCCCTGGTGTGGCGGGACGGGGGGCATCCCTGGGGAAACCTTCCCTCTCCGTGACTGGGGACGGCACCTGCTCAGGGAGGCCCTGTTCCATGGGTGCTGCTTGGCCTATGGGTCCAGTCTCCCAGCCTGAAAGAAAACCGAAGAGCTCTGAGGGGTGGGCACAAGAAATAGGGAGAACGGGACAGGACCCCGATACCTCGGGCCTGCACCCTAACTACCTGCCCAGCCACTAGGCAAATCCCCATTCGGCTTTTATGTCGACATCAAGTGCCTGTCTGCAAACACAACTTCACTCATTTGTTCTTTCAACAAAAATTTCCTGAGCACCTGCCATACGCTGGGTCTGGGACCATATCAGGGGCTGGCACACGAAGCCCCCAAGTCGCAGATGGTTTTTGTTTACAAAGGCCTATAGGGGAAAAAAAACTATGACAGAGACAAGCAGAATTCTAAAGTTGTCCCCCAGCTGTTTGGTCAGACACTCATCTAGATACTGAAGTGAAGGGCTTCTGCAGGGGACGTGAAGGTCACTCATCAGCTGATCCTAAACTCTAAAATAGGGAGCTGACGCTGGGTGACCCGGGTGGGCCTACGGCGGTCGCCTGAACATTTACAAGCAGAAGGAGGAAGTAGAGGCGAGGCTGGCTGTGCAGGGGGCATCAGCCAGGAGAGCAGGTGCCTCTCAAAGCCGAGAACAGCTCTTGGATGACAGTCTGCAAGGACATAGGCGCCTCAGTCCCTGGACGCACGGACTGAATTCTGTCAAGCTGACCAAGCCTGGACGCCAGGACGAGTCTTCCCAAGTGGCCCCATGAGCCCCGACCTCCAAGCCTGACAGACGGCTTGACTTTCACCTCACGAGACCCGGGCAGACAAGCCGGTCAGGTTGGACGGACAGAACTGGAAGATGACACACGTGCTCTGCTGACGCCGCCGCGCTCCTGGGAATTCGTCACGGCGGCGATGGAACACAAACACAGAGACCACGCGTGGCCCGCGAAGCCTAACGTTTACTGTCTGGCTCCAGATGCTGCAGACAAAGCGCTGCCCCTGACAGGTGACAGGCCCTACCCCCGGGAGCTGGGGGGGCAGACGCTGAACGAAGCGTAGAAGTAGCTGCTGAGCGGGCAGATGAGCGGCTCGGTTTAGAGACAGGCCGCATGCCCAGGCAGAGGGCCCGCCGGTCACGAGGCCGCCCAGGGGAGCACCCCCAGGGCGAATCCTCTGGGACGGGACTGCCCCGCCGGCAGGCACACACCCCTGCCCCCATCCTCGGCCCGGCACGCTCAAGTGAAGGTGCCTTCGTCTTCTCTGGGCCGTGACAACTTACCGCAAACCTAGCCCCGCTGGGACGGGACTCTGCGACCTCGAGTTGGCTTTCTCTGGACTTCGTCCCATCACCTCTCCCCTCTGCTGACTCTGCCCAGTGGTCAGGGGATCTGCAGGTGGTCCCCAGGACCCAGACACACTGCCCTTTCCGAGCAGCGCACCTGTACCCCCTCCCGGGCCGCTCCCAGGAGCGGTTCCCACTTCTCACCTGCACAGCTGCCCCGGGCGATCCCTCTCTCCGCCACCCACAGCTCAGCCCCTTGCTCCAGCTGGGAGATGACTTCGGGTTTGGGAAGCTCAGGTCCTGGAAATGGGAAAGACACAGGATGCGGCAGGCTGCTCCGCAGAGAACTGCCCAGGCCCCCGCCCTGATCCCCGACCGTCAGGACATGGGGACACCTCACAACAAGTGAAGGCTTTGAGATGGGACGGAGAGGGGCAGCCCCCACCCCCCGCCTGCATGTCCCACAGGGAAGGAGAACCCAAGGTTCCTGGTCCCCAGCCTGGGGGCCAGTCTTCATACCAGAGACCCCATAGCCGACAACCGTGAAGAGTGAGTCACTGCAGGAATCTGACTGTTGGCTTGGGAAGAGGGCCTTACCCACAGACAGCAGGTGCCCGAAGGTCTCCAGCATCACGTCCCGGTACAGCGTCCTCTGGGCGGGGCCCAGCTGCCCCCACTCCTCCTGGGTGAAGTCCACAGCCACGTCCCGGAAGGTCACCGGCTCCTGAAACATCACAGTGCCCAGTCAGCTGGACTGTCCCCATCAGCGCTCTCAGGAAGAGGAGGAGGAATGGGGAAAGAGAAGATAGGCAGGCCAGTGTCCCGAGAGTGCACGTTCTGGGGGACATGGGTCAGGTCTCGCTGGGCACCACTGGGCTGCTGCAGGACACATGAGAGCATCCAGCCAGGATCACAGCCAACCACAGCTGACCTACAGCTGATCTCGGACGAGGGTGCCGAAAGAGATCCTTCTCAACCGCTGACCTGCAGATCTGTGGGCCAAAGAAATGGTTCGCGCCTTGAGGCCTGAGGTTTGGAGACAGTTTACTACGCAGCTATAGCTGACTGATACGCTAACCTCACACTCGTCCTCCCGGAAAAGAGGGCAGACAGTGAACAGTCAGAAACGCACCTGCCTTCCGGGACCGGGTGCTCACGACAGACTGAAGCGGGCCGGTGTAAGAGCCAACTGAGGTATTAAATCTGTGAGAGGTGACACTGGAGGTGACAGGTAACATGTGCCCTATCTAAAGGAGCAGCTGGGACTCAACCCCATGCGATCAGAACTGCCAATCTTTGGTGAGAAGTTAAAAATTAGGTCAAGTTTTAAATTTTTATAAGCTGATATAATGCAATTCGTGTCCCACAAACGAAACTCTTTTGTGGACTGGGTATGGCCATGGTCAAAAGCTAAATATTTCTTGAACAGTCTTGACTCTGCCACTTCCTCTTCAAGAATCATAGAGCAGGTACCCACCTCTGCCCCCTTGCTTCCTTGTCTCCTTGGGGGCTGTGACAGGGATTGAGTGGCTGTAAAGCACGTCCTACAGGACACTGGATGGCCACATGCAAAAGAATAAAGTTGGTCTCCGACCTCACACCGCATATAAAAGTTGGTCTCCGACCTCACACCACATATCAAAGACATAAATGTAAGAGCTAAAAGTATTAAACTCCTTGAAGAAAACACAGGAATAAAATCTTCGTAATTTTGGATTTGGCAAAGGATTTTTAGATAAGATAGCAAAAGCACAAGCAACTAACTGACTAAATAACTAACTGAATAAACTGGACTTTATCGAATTAAAAACTGTTGTGCTCCAAAGGACCCTATCAAGAAAGCGGAAAGACACTCAGACACTCGCATAACGGAAGATACTAAATTGCAAATCGCCTATCTGATAAAAGACCTTTATCCAAAAGATACAAAGAACTCTTAGTCAATAATAAAAGCAACATAAATAAAACAGGCAAAGAATCTAAACAGATATTTCTTCAAAGAAGATATAAAACAAAATAAACAGAGAGCAAATAACCACAAGATTGGCCACCAGGGAAATGCAAACCACAATCACATACCAAATACCTCAATTTCAAAAGGATATTTTCTTCTAGAAAAACACAAGTAGATTTAAAAAAACACTAGGGGGGCACGTGGCTCTGACAGAACTTGTTCAGTAAACATGTAGAACCTTTTGGCTGAGAACAAAGGTTTCTGCTTCTGTCCGCATATCCTCAGCTCCCACTCAGAAAGTCCTCCGACCCTGAAACGTGCTCCCGTGCCACCTGCCTCCACCCACCATTACCCACCCTGCACAGGTTGCAGGGACAGCCCAGGCACTGGGTCCACTGACTACTGGTCTGTCTCCGCCACAAGGCCTCTCGGGGGCATCGCGTGGGTCCTTCTGTCTCCTCCTGGAATTCCAGCAGGAGCCCCCACTCCTTGCTGTCATGTGACTCTCCCTGCTGCTCCGCCTCAGTCCCCTGCAGCCCTCCTCTTGCTCTGCACTGTTGGGCCCTGGAGGGATGGGCTGTGTCACACCCACGCACTCTCTCAGAGTGGACCTGGCTACCCCGCATCAGCCAACATCCGGTCACTGACCCTCAACCCCCATGCCTCCCTTAGCTCTCAATATCTCTCCGGCTCCCTCCCCCGGGTCCCCTCTCACACTGGAGACTGGCTGGCCCCTTTCAACCTGGCTACGGCTGGCTGAGTATCTGGGTCCTAGTTCCAGGGTCCTGTGAGCATTACCAGAAATGGTAAAAGAGAGTTTGCGGATGTGATTAAGTGGAGGGCCTGAATGCAATCACAAATGTCCTTCTAAGGGAAAGGCAGGGGGGTGTCACAAGTCTCATGGGACAGATCACAATGTGACCACTAAAGTGAGATGCTATGCTGCTGGCTGTAAAGATGGACAAAGGGCCAGGAGCCAAGGAATGCCAGGTCTACAGCTGTAATAGCCGGAAAAGCCGAGCGAACGGATCCTCCCCTAGAGCCTCCACAGGAATGGCGGCTCTTCCACACCTTGATTTCAGACCAGGGAAACGGAGTCCAGACTTTTGGCCTCCAGACTAAACGTGTACTGTTCTAAGCTACCAAGTTCGTGGGATTGTTATGGCAACACAGGAAACGAATACACTGGACCTCAAAGCCCTCCACTCGTTCCTTGCCTCCTGTGGTGGCTGGCCTCCAAGATGGCTCCAAGGATCTCCAGCCCTTTTGGAGTCTCCTCCTATACTGAGCAGGTTTGACCCCATGTAACAGGATATTGTGGAAATGACAGAGTGTGAATTCTGACGCCAAGTCACAAAAAGCACTGTGTTTCCACCTGGCCCCCTCCTGGATCACTCGCTCAGTGAGAAGCTAGATGCCATGTTGTGAGGACAACCGAGAAGCTCCACAGGGGCCACGTGGGAAGAAACTGAGGCCTCCTGCCAACTGTCATGTGAGTGAGCCACCTTGGAAGTGGATCCTCCAGCCACAGCCAAGTCTCATGTGACAACGGTCTGGGTTGACTGTAACCTCATGAGCTCAGGCCAGAACCACCAGCTACGTTGTTCCAGGATTCCTATCATTAGAAACTATGAGATAAAATTTATTATTATTCTAGGCCACTACGTTTTGGGGTCATTTGTTACATAGCAACAGATAACTGACACACTTTCTTTAAGGCTCTCTTAATGCTGACAAAGACCTTCTCCTCGCCAAACTGGAATCTGGCTCCTCTGAACCCTCTTCTCATCTAGACCTTGACCTTTAGGGATCTGGGTCCATTTCTGCAACACCCAGTTTTACCAAAAATCCTGTCAAGTCCGTTTACCCAGGATCCCCACCCTCCACATGTAATCTCTCTCAATCTTTTTCAAGGCCTCATCCACACAATCGTCTAGGTCATATGTGATCACTTGGCCTGCTGCAGCAAGAATCCCCTCCACGACTGGCTAAAAAGTCTCCCTTTTCCTTGCTGTTTTCAGAATTGAGTCCAATTCTATACTGAAGTCTCCCCTCCTCCCACTGCAACCGTTCCCGAACAGAATCTGATTTTACTTGCTTTAACTACTGTTCAGCTCTGATTTTCTTTGACACTGCTCACTCCCTGCCCGGACATCCACAGCAAAAGCAAATTAAGGGGTGGTTCATTTCATGCAAATCTGCAACAACAGTCTGATTTCGCATGCTGAATCTGAAATAATGCCAACCCCTGTAAACAACAAAATGCAGAAAGCATATGAATTCAAAGATGCTTTAGTAATCGTGAATTACTTTTGGGTCTTGCTAATGTGGAGACAGCACTAAGAGAGAACACTGGCAGGGACCACTTTATCTAGAATTGCTGGAGCTTAGAATCAGGTGCCTTCCCCCATGGCCTTGAAAGCACTGACCGCCCTGCCCAGCGGTTACCCCGCGAGCTGAGTCGGGGATCCGGTGGTCGTTCCCGCCCCACTAACAGGGTGTGTGGTGACTTCTCCTTACCCCCCGTGGTTGTGCCCCGTCCCTAGGCCAGGGGCTTCGCTTTCGCTGACTCCGTGCCTTAAAGCATCTCTATTCGATAATACCTGCCACCTTGGCGCTCTATTAGCCATCATCGCGGTGGTCCGCCTTCCGAGCGGGGGTGAGGGGGGAAGGGAATCGGCGGAGAGCAGGGCCAGCCCTGTCCTCGGGAAGGACTCCCTAATCTTCATCCAAGAACAGGGAGGCCGGAGTACCAGTTGAGCATGCGCACTCGGGGACGCGATGGTCCGGGTTCGAAACCAGACGCTACCGCTTGCGGGCCGCGCACCCCGACCTCCGCTTCAATTTCCCTATGTGTAAAGGGGGATAACGCTCGTGCCCTGCTCACCACACGCTGCGAGAGTTAAAGCGTCAATATCTGCGGGAGACGCCTGGCCAGGGGACCGCTGCCATGGCTGTTATTGTTACTACCGTTACCTGAAGCCGTTCCGCCAGCGGCCCCGCAGCCATCGCCAATGCTGCAGCTTCCTCCTCGGGGTCCATCCTGGACCGACAGGTCAAGGACAGGCGCCCGAGGCGACCCTAAGCCCGAAAGCCACCCGGGCCACAGGGATCGCGCGACTCGCTGCCCGCCGGACAATGGCGGCCGCGCCGGCGACGCTGGGACTACAACTCCCAGAAGGTCATGCGGCTCGCGCAGCCGCGTCTGGCCAATGACAACTTCGTCAGTCGAGCCTTCGACCAACGGGAGCCTTGCGGCTTCGGGCCAATGAGAGCCTCCGCCCGCCGGGCTTTTGGCCAATGGGGTCGATCCTGAGCAGGCAAGGTCCACGGCGATTCCCGGCCGCGATTCTCGCGAGGCTGTGGGGTGGAAAGACAGCACCTAGGTTGGCGGATGGCACCTTGGGTGGCCCATGGCCAGCCTGCCGGTTCTGCAGCCCCCAACCCCAGTCTCCCTCAGTCCCCGCGCCGGGCGGACTGGCTGGTGTGACGTGGGGCTTGCTCGTCCTGGCCGGAAGTGCATAGAGCGAGGGCCGTGGCCTCCCCATTTTATCTGTGGTATCTACTGCCTTCCTTGTAAGTTGGACATGTTTCCACAAAAAGGGTAAAGAGGGGTCAAATACAAGGAGTCAAAAGGAAACAAGACTTCTCTGTGTGCCTGTGTCTCCACATTTCCTCTTCTTATAAGGAGCAGTCGTATTGGAGCACTGGCTCACCCCTGTGACCTCGTTTTAACTTAATTACCTCTATAGAGACCTTGTCTCCAAATAATGTCACATTCTGAGGTGTGCAGTTAGGATGTCAATATGTGAATTTCCAGGGTAAACAATTCAGCCCCTAATGTACAGTAACTTTATTTTTAGAAGTTAATAAGATATTAAAATTTTAAGCGTTTTAATTTCTAATATTGCAAATATTAGTAGAACCTACAAAAACCATGTGGGGTCCTATTATTTTTAAGAATGAAGATGGTTTACAGCTACCTTGAACAAGTCCGAACCAGTCTGATCTCGGAAGCTAAGCAGAGTCGGGCCTTGTTAGTACTTGGATGGGAGACCACCTAGGAAGACCAGGTGCTGTAGGCATAAAAAATAAAAATAAAAAATAAGGGATTGTAATCTGACAAGGTCCTTGCAATCTGTGAGGTCAACCAAAGGTTGCCGCGCCTAAAACAAAATAAAAATGAAATAAATAGACAACAATGAAGAAAAAGTGAAGATGGTCTAGAGACCGAAAAGCTTGAAACACTTGTTTGTGGATTGGTATTTTTATCTTTAAATTATTAAATTTGTTGAGTTAACATTGGTTCATAAAGTCATATAAATTTCAGCATTACAACTTTATAATACAACGTACGTATTGTCTATTGTTCCCACCACTCAAAGTATAGTCTCCTTCCATCATCTTGTATTTGACCCCATTTACCCTCTAAGTATAGGCTTTTCTTAAAAAGCAAGCTTTGATAACTTTGTATGTATTCCTGTATGTATGTTTTACTATGGAGGATTTTAATTATTTTACTCTAAAATTAAGATGATTACTTTTTTATTTTATTATTTTCATTAGATCAAATAGCTTTCAAACAATATTTTAAAATATCCGAATGGAACTCTTTCTTTCAATTAATCTAATTTTGTCACACTATTAGACAATATAGTGATGAGATATTAGTTTTTAAAATGGATGATCGGTCTTAGGGACATTTGAGAAGGTTATTTCTCTTTAAACAAGGCCAAAGAGTTCTAAGGCACAAATAGCATATTGAGTCTCTGTGAGATTCCCCTGAAGGACAGCTATTCCTCTTTTCCTGAGTAACCTCTGCCTTAAGCAGAGAAGTCAACATTTTTACTTTACAAAGCCATTTCACTTTGAAGCCATTTCACTAAGAAGCCAATATGAAAATTCATACGTTTAACACATAAACTCATATTTTTATGTTCAGTGTTTATAGACTTTATTGACTTCCTTTTATGATAGAAACTACAATCTGACTTACATCTCTCCTCTATTTGCTTCCAAATTCTGTCATATTACTGTTTGGAACTCTGATTTTGATTTCTCAAGTAACTTATTACATCTAGGAAGATAAACATCTGAGTCAAATTAATACTCTTTTCTAAAGTTGGGTTCACATTTGGACCACAACTGTCTTGTACAATGTTTATATTTCTAGAACTTGTTTACCCTGAGTATCTGATTATCTTTTCTCTTTTTTTAATTAGAAGAAATATTCTTTTTCTTTAAAAACCATATTCCTTCATACATCGTTGGTGAGATTACGCAATGGTACAGGCACTGAGAAAAACAGTTTGGAGATTCCTTAAAAAGTTAAAAATGGAACTACCTTTTAACCCAGCAATTGCACATCTGGGTATTTATTCAAAGAAAACTACGACAGTAATTTGGAAAGATTTATGTATGCCTGTGTTAGCTGCAGCACTATTCACAATAGTCAGGATGTGGAAACAACCTAATTGCCTGCCAACAGATGGCTGGATAAAGTTATGGTACATGTATACAACAGAATATTATTCAGTTATAAAAAATGAAATCTTACCATTTGCAATGACAGGGACGGCCATAGAGGATATTATGCTGAATGAAATAATTGCGTCAGAGAAAAACAAATACCATATGATCTCACTTATATGTGGAATCTAAAGAACAAAATGGACAAACAAAAAAACAGACTCATACATACAGAGAACAAACTGGCGATTGCCAGATGAGAGGGAGGTTGCGGTGGTGGTGGGGAAGTTGGGTAAAAAGGTGAAGAGATTAAGAACTACAAATTGGCAGTTACAAAATAGTCATGGGGATATAAAGTACAACATAAAGAATATAGTCAATAACATTGTAATAACTATGGAGGGTGTCAGGGGGAACTAGACTGATCGGGGGGATCACTTCGTAAATTATATAAATGTCTAACCATTGCGTTGTATACCTGAAACTAATATTTTAAATAAAACCTATATACTTTTGTTCAAAATTATTCTCTCCAGAAGTTTCTGCACTATCTTAATTGTGTTCTCAGTTTCTCATGCTGCATGGATCTTATTAATCCTGAATAGTAAGTAGTTGGGATGATCTGAAGATTTTTCTTTCAGCTCTGGGGAAATTTCCCTTCTCTCTCTTTTTTTTTTTTTGGTCACAATATTACTTTTAATCTAATAGTCTATTCTTCTCATAACTCTTTTTTAAACGAGTAGCCTGGATTTATTTTTCAATTACTTCTTGACTCAATCTCCATTTTAAATATGTTGTTCCCCTGAGAATATTTGCATTTTTGGTTGGTTTTTTTTTTGCTTCGTCTTTTTTCTTTCACGTTCGAGGTTTCACATCTTTCACTCCTTGGCTCCCATCTGTATTGAAGAGGCTACCATTTTTTTCTTTCACGTTCGAGGTTTCACATCTTTCGCTCCTTGGCTCCCATCTGTATTGAAGAGGCTACCAGAAAGTAGATGTGAGTCCCCATAGACGGTTGGGGCTGGTTTAGTGGAATGCTTTGCTTTAGGAGGAAAATGGCAAGAACAAGGTGTTAGGATAGATGTCCCTAAAACGAGAAGCTACAGCTGCTTGTTCTGGAGCATGCTTGTTCTGGAGGCACACCAATGTCCCTCATCCTCAGACTAATTTTTTCTTAGTACCTAACTCATTTTCTATTTTATTTTGTTTACTCACAGCCTGATTTAGTGCAAGACAAGAAAAAGAGGAGGAGGAAATTTAGTCTCATGAACTGCCCATCAATCAACCCTGCTTTCCTGCCCCACCTGTCAGCCTGCAACTCTGCCAGAGCACCATGGCCTCCACGGCTGCAGCCCTCTCTTCACATCCTGGCTTCAGCCTTTCGCATTCTCCATATCCAGGTGAGGCTCTCCCACCTGCTTTCACCTTGCTCAAATGTGCGGTAATGGCCTCTCCTGTTTTCTTCACCATTGCTGCCTTTTTCGCACGTGTCGCCGAGTTGACCTTAACCAGACATCTGTGCACATGTTGTTATGTGGTTGTAGTTTTGTGTATATATGACTATGGATTGATTTATTTCACCTGATAAATATCCATGTCACTAAACATACACACAGTTCTGAATACAGTCAACCCAACTGAACAACAAAGAGCATAACAAATTTCCTGAAATAGTCATTCACTCTACTTTTAATTCCAATGAAAACCATTTCAGAAGATATCCCACCTCAGTCCTCCTTCAATTTCTCCTTTACTGCTGGTTTACACTGAACGTGGCTGGCTTCATATTTCATCACTCCACACCGACTTCCTCATGCAATGGTTTCTTCTTAGATTACGTGTCCAAGGCTCTGTATAAAGAATACCTTCCAATCTCTCATCATTTCCAGGAACGTGCTACAACGATAACATCTGCTTAAGTTGGGGTGGTCGTTACAAATAAAATGATAATCAGTGGGCACAGCTCCATTCTGAATTTCCTAACTCCTGCGAAGAGCTCTGAAAAATTTCCATCAGTGGTCATGTTCGTATCTTCTCATGTAAATGCAGAAGTAAACACATTTTAACACACATACAAATAACTCGTGCTGGTTTTCAAAATGGCAGGCTCCTGACTTTGCTAAAGATTCTGACTTAGTAGACCAGGGTAAGCTTGATAATGTGCAGTTTCAATACACACTCCAAGCGATTCCGATGTATGTGGTCCTCTGATATCTAGAAAAGAAGTTCTGGCAGCCGGCTTCCCCATCTTAGTTATTCATAGGGTTTCTCGGGTCTGATAAAGGATTTGTTATAACTGAAATCTTTGCCACACTCTTACCTTTATCTGTCCCATATGAATTCTGTGATACACATTAAGGCCACTCTGCCAACTAAAAGTCTTTTCCCAATGATCACATTCATAGGGTTTCTCTCTCATGTGTGTTCTCATGTTAGCTAAGAGCAGACCAACCACTGAAGACTTTCCCAGGCAATACATTCATAAAGCTTTTCTCTAGTATGTGTCCTCTGATGTTCAGTAATGGGTGACTTCCAACTGAAGGTTTTAATAGAAATGTTACATGGTTCTCTACAGTGTGTTGTTCTCTGAGGCATAACAAGGAAATGTCTCCATTAGAGAGCTTTTCCACAAAGTCTGCTTTCAAAAGGTTTCATCTTGCCAATATGGGTTCACTGATGCACAAGTTGTGATCAACGCTGAAGAC